CTTTTTTCACTGTGATTTGTTCTTTTTAGGCGAAATCATAATCACATATGGCAAGTGCTAATGTACGCTCGCAGAGTCTTCTACAAGATTGATACAACTTGTCCCCTGAATCCTGAGGCTGCAGTGCTGTAAGTATCTTCCACCTATATAGTCATGTTCTGCTGAGAAACTTTTGCTTAGAAGTAAAGAGAGGTCTGCAACCGTTCTGTATCGGTTTGTGGTCTACACAATTAGAGATGATTGGATTAGAATATGAAATGGAGGCTTAGCCAAGTCTGTGCCTCCACAGCAAACTTAGTTTTTGCAATCATTTAGCATGATTTACTTCTATTTTGTAGGTATGAAAAAGATATTCAGCTGTTCAAAAGTAAAGTGGTGGACAGTGTCAGACTATGCAGCAGTCACTTATTTGATCAGCCTAAAATAGAGGATCCCTATGCAATTGTGTAAGTACCGTGGACAAACTCACCATGCCCTAAAATTTTGAAAGCAAACTTAATATAGCAGTTGATTTGAAGTGTAAGAGATGGGCAATAGATTAACTTCAACAAATAGATAACTTTATAGGGATACTGTGAGCTTTGTTCCTGTTTAGTGCTAAGTGAACTTAGATGTAACCAGATGCTTCTGTTCACTGTTTTTTTTTTTTTTGGCTTGATTTTTTTTTTCTCCATTAAGCATATCAAAACTTTAAGAAAAGCACTCACCCCAAGTGGCCATATCCATAACACACATTCTGCTTTCAGACATTCGTGATTTCAGGCTTGTAGCTTGATTGACTGCACTGGCTGATATCTTTAGAGCTTCCTTTTGCAGGGGGGATAGAATAATAAACTTCAAAATGAATGAGCGAATAGTGTTGCTTTTAGCATCACCAGCATGAATTTCCAGTTCTGAATGCAAATAAAAATGAGAACTTAAATACATCTAGTTGAAAAGATGCCTGGGAGCATGGATTGCAGTTCATGGCTGTATGCTGTAACACTGAAAGCTGAGATTTGCATTTGGCTGGAAAAAACAATTGAAACAAGGAAAACTGCTTCTTTTCACTTTTTTTTTTTTTTTTCTGTATACATATTGGTTTACAAAAATGCAAAATAAGACATGTCTCTAATTTTTCTGTAGTTTTTCTCCATGGAATCCAGCTATCCACGATGAAGCTAGAGAGAAGATGCTGAGTCAAAAGGTAAGTGCAAAGTCCAAATATTCACTGTAAGAAGAGTTTAGTGTCTAATAAAAGAAGTCAAGTTCGCTGCCTCTTTGGGATGATCATGTACTCGACAGACCTTATCCCACTTCTCTTTTGGGCTAGCAAATGTGCACAAACGGGTCTTGTAACTGAGCAGTTACGTCAGTGTTCTAACTCGACTGTTAAGCAAAAGATTATTTGGGTAACTAGAAAAATTAGCTAGACAGAGTATGATTGCTGGCCCACTTGGTAGACTTAGAGAATGCAGGGAAGAAGGATAAATGCTCTTGCAGGACAGTGTCAGCTGAACAAGGAGTGCTTGTAGCACAAAGTGCATCCTATAACCCTTAGTGTGCTAGCAAGAACAGTGTTGCTTCATATAGCTCCCAGCTGATACCATGGGTATCTATAGAGACAAGGTGCAGTGACATGCTGAAATAACCTTAGCATAGATGAAGGAGTCCTAAGCAGTGCTGATAACTTATCTAAATGGCTCTTGAGCAGAGACACACGTGTGGTAGAACCTTTCTTTGTCTCCTTAGGAAATAGGCCCAAAGCCTTCATTCTGGAGAAGTTAAGGCTTTCTAAAGGTTCTGCCAGGTTCTATTGTTTCCCCGGAGTGTTTTTGTGCTTTCAAACTGATTCCCTGTACATGACCAGAGTTGACAGGCAGCAGTCCCGAGTCTGCACCAAGCGACATGACAAATAATTCATGTCCCCCTGCAGTGCCTCCAGTTCTGAAACGGTGGTTGGTGTCTTTGCAGGACTGGCAAGAAAATATGTTCCGAATACTTTGAATGCTTTAGTCCCTGGCTGAAGGGAGGAATGGGCTCTCTCCATTAGTGTTGTGGGGGGTTTTGTTTTGTTTTGTTTTGTTTTTCTCCATCTGTCTCAGATCAGCCCTTCCTCGCTGCAAACCACTCATGTTCTTGCATGTCCTTGGACATGAGTGAGGTTGTGTGTTGGTCTTAATGCAATATGCTATATGTAAGCTCAGTGTAGAAATGTTCCCAATTAGATCTTGAGGTGAGGTGGCCTTAGAACCCACAGCAAAATAATTTGATCTCGATTCCAACCTCTTAATCTTGAAAAATACACCAGACTCTCTACTTTTCACCATAACACCTTCTTTGACAAGCTGTAGGTCAAAAATAAAGAAAAGGAAAGGCTTGGGATGCTTAAACTGGAAGCATGTGCTGTCGTCTGAGACAGGCAGCAAGCGTTACACCAGTAATGACTTTTTTCCCCCTTTCTCTCTGGAGATGCACTTTTTAATTAAGATCTCCAGGAACTATTGTATATTAGTTGCCCGAGTGGTTTGTTGGTTTGTTGATAGCAGGA